TTCCATAAGATTGTTCAATCTAGTTCCTTTAATCTTTCCCTGTTTCCTTTCAGATTCCGCCTATCTTTGCCAGAGTCCAGTCGCAGCAACATTGAGGTAGGGATTGGACCTCTCAAGCATCCCCTGGAAAGGAAAGAATCAGAATTGCCCTTTCTGCTGGATGGTTGTTTTCTATGCCTCTGTGTACTCGATTTCTCCATGAGTGCTGGTTTTAACTTGAAAGTTCTTTGTATAGTTACTCATCTATCAAGCCAATTAAGTGTTAAACGAAAGAGGAACTCTCCCATTCACTTTTATCTATGCAGAAAGAATTTGAAAGACTGCTCAGACACGTGTGATGCCAGAAAACCATCTCTGAGAAGGAATTCTCAGAGATTTCATTTTCTAGACTCAATGGCAGTGGGTTTCGTTTTTGGTTTATGGTTAAATATAAGGAGCTCTGGTGGTGCAGTGGGTAGGGCACTTGCTGCCAATCAGAATGTCAGTGGTTCAAACCCATCAGCTGCTCTGCAGGAGGAAATGGCAGTGGGTTTTGGGATTTATAGTTAAATGTAAGGTCCAGAATCCCAAACTCAAAAAACTCACTGCCATCGAGTCAAATACAATTCATGACGATCCCTCTTTGGGTTTCGGAGGTGGTATTTCTATGGGAGTAGATTGCCCAATCTTCCTTCTGAGGAGTGGCTGGTGGATTTGAACTACCAGCTTTCTGATTAGCAGTCAAATACCTTAGGAACATCACCACCTGACCTCCTAATCCCAAAGGAAGAGGCTATATGTAAATTATCAGGCCATGATTAGGCATGAAGGCTTTCCACCTTTCTCCTACAATTGCATTAAGGCTGGTTGTATGGATATCCATTTGGGGGGTCCTAACCTAGTAGCCACTCCTCGGAAGGAAGGTTGGGCAATCCTACTTCCGTAGTAATATTGCCTCGGAAACCCAAGGAGGGGTCGCTATGAGTCGGGGCCGACTCAACGGCACATAACAACAACAACAACCTAGTAACCTCCTGATTAGAACAAGATTCCCTCTAACATGAAACTTGAAAATCTCCACCCTTCAGGCTTCAGGAAAATCAGCCCCAAACTGACTATAACCAACATTTAGGTCCAGTTACATGACAACTTCATTCATTCATGGATGATACTACCATCGACCAGTTAAGTGCATGAATTTTGGTATCAGAATTCCAGGGTAGAACAATACCTAGTTCATGGTCAGTCTTATATAAATATTACTTATTAATTATATCAATATTTATTCATTCTGCAAATTTTATTGACCCACGCACCATTCTGGATAATTCATAAAATAAAGCCCTTACTCTAACAGTGCTTACATTCCACAGTAGAGGTTCTCAGCTAGGGGAGATTTTGCCCACCCCCACCCCCAGGGAGGTGCAGCAATACAGAGAAACATTTTTGATGTCACGTTTTGGGAGGTGACGGATGTGCTACTGGCATCTCATGGATAGAGGTCAGTGTGCTGCTAGATATCCTATAATGCACGGGACAGCCTCCATAACAAGAAAGAATTATCTGGTCCAACATGTCAATACTGCCACTGTTGGGAAACCTTGTTCTAGAATGTGTGTGGGGGTGTGTGTGCATATGTGTGACATACAATGAACAAACACATATACATCGTAGGTGCTGAAAATGCAATAGAGAAGAATAAAGCAGGGCAAGAGAACAGGCAGCGAGGTAGGTAGGGAGCAAGAAATTATAACCTTGGGGTTTTTGAAAGAACTAAGATTATATATATGAAATGAATTTTTAGCACATTGCCTACATAATCCAAACCAAACTCACTGCTGTTGAGTCAGAGCCCACTCATAGCGACCCCTTCTTGGGTTTCTGAGGCAATATCACTACGGAAGCAGATTGTCCAACCTTCCTTCCAACGAGTGGCTGGTGGGTTTGAACCGCCAGCATTCTGGTTAGCAGTCAAATGCCTTAGGATTAAATGAATGATGGTCATTGTTTTTATATTTGTAATAATTATTTCAGTTATTGCCACCTGTATGACTAGGGGCTGTATAGCATCATGGTTGCATATCCAAATTCTGAAGCCAAATTCTATGAGTTCAAATCCCACTTACGGGCTGTATGGCCTTGTACAAGTCAGACAGACAGAGCCTGTATACAGCAAATACTGAATTTAATTATTACTATGTTTCACAAAAACAGCTGTAAGAGCAGAACAGATCTGGGGGAAATAGCCAAGAAGTCAGAGAATTTAGCCAGGATACCAAACAAAATGTTTATTTATTTTTCAGCATCCTGAATTTCAGGATGGGAAAAATTAGGAGCTGATAGCAATAGTGTCAACAGGTGGGAAACAGGTTATACACTTGATGCCCAACACTGAGGTCTAAAATATGAGTATTGTCTCACATACTATCCCCTGGCATAACCATCTGGTAGACAGATGGTAGATGAGAGTCCAGGAGCATGCATAGCTGGCTGTCTCATAAAAGGTATTGCCTGGGGAGGAGGGGGCAAAATGAGTCAAAGCCTTCCAGGAAGACTCACGTAAACTGCTTGGGATCAACAACAAGCTGTGCGAACCATGACATTTAAAAAAAAACAAATAGTAATAGTACAGCATATACCAAGCACTGGTCTATGTATTTTACATCATATTCACTTGTTTAATCCTATGAGATAAATACTATTATCTTCATTTTACAGTTGAGAAAGTTGAGGCACAAAGAAGTTAAGTAACTTTTCCAACATCACACAGTAAGTTAATAGAACCAAGAGATAAACCTAGGAAGTCTACCTTCAGCACCTGCATTGCTAAACTACAAAGAGGCTTTTCTTAGGTTGCTCAAAAAATATTCGTTGAATGAATTGGTGTCCATCAAAGTCCATTTACTTTTCATACCTAAATCTTCCCAGGAAGGAACACTCTACTTACATTATACAACTACTACAGTGTATTGAAGACGGATTGATTGTTTTTGTGATACCTTCAATTCTAAAGTATAATATAATGCAAAGGGACTCCTGTGGCAGGAGTTTCCACTAAATAGAGAAGACTGCTAATTGGGAAATCTGTTCATTGCTGTTGATTGTCTTAGTCAGCAGATATCTAAGCTGTTTGCTGCCACGGTACCATCTTTCTGTATTTGCCATCACCATGATCCAGCACAGAGGGGAGAAGAAGTATCCCCCCTCAAGTGGGGCAAACCAAAACTAAACCCACTGCCATCAAGTAGATGCCAACTCATAGTACCCCCCATTGGGAAGGCTGTAGATCTGTACAGAAGCAGACTGCCTCATCTTTCTTCTGCAGAGCGGCTGATGGATTCAAAACACTGACCTTTTGGTTAGCAGCCAAAATGCCTTACCCACTACACCACTAGAGCTCTTTTAAGTGGAGAAAGAGGCTGGGAAATTCTGTCATATATTTTCCCACAAAATATCATTCAGAGTCTGGAGAGCCACTATATTCCCACAGGGAACTTCTAGTTATTGCTCTCTGTCCTGATTAGGTCTGGGCAAGAGCATGTGAAAACCAGGCCTGGCAGTTTCAAACAGCTCTGATTTGGTAACTGACTCAGTTTCCCCCTTTTCATCTTAGGTCTTGAGGTTTGAGAATATTCTATCTTCCCTTCTTCACTTTGGCGTGCTGCCACTGGCCAATGGTAAGGCATTCTTAGGAAATGATGTGACTCACAGATACCGGCTGAAAATGGGAGACTGGCTGGGGCTTCCCACCCCCTTGTACTTCTACAGTGTTGTTGTGAGTCCAGGCAGGAGCCGGAAATTACAAAGTTTGTACCATCAATGATATGGTTGCAAATTAATTATCCCAAGCCCTGTTAGCAACTCGCTTTGCAGACTCAGTGAGAAGGGCTGACTCTGGTTGAGTAAAGGAGACTGAAACTATTCTCCGTAGGCAGGAAAGAGTCTCCTTCCAGCCAACTGGGAAATTATTCTCCTTAGGGGGTATTTTTGTGATTCTTATGCAGGGATCACCCTCTGTACACACACAGTTTAAGCGGACGGCAATCCTGGACCTTTCCCTGCACAGCCATTGTTGACAAACTGCAGCTTATTGAATATGGCTCACTTAAAACATTTTTTATATTAGAGATTGACATGTTCTCAGGGCCGCCTTATCAAGGCAGCATCAAAAAAATCAAGTGACAAATTGCCAACATCTTTCTACTGCCCAAATGTACATAATTACAGGTGTAGTTTTATTAAGCACTGATTAATGAAAAGTCCTTCCAGGAAAATGCTAGGGACTTAGAGAATGAAAACAGATGAGGGAGAATGGAAATACAAATTATGGAAAAGCTGCTTATTAGTCTCTGACTACAAATTTGCCAGAACACCTATGTCCAGACATGACTATTCTACATCTTTGTTCTGTATTTTAGCAAAATTGCAACAAGGATTTCCTCTGCCCAACCCACACAAAATCTCATTTGTCAATTCAGATATCGAAGTTCTCGAGGTAAGAATTGTCAATGTTCTGTTAACCAACCCACTTCCTTTCATAGTAGGGTAAGTCTCTGTTTCGTTATTTTTTTGTTTGAATTACTTTTGTATTTTTTCCCAACCCAGGGAAGTTCATAAACAAAACATTTCGCTCTTAAGACTTGCAATTAGCACTGGATAGCACTGAGTTTAAAAAACCAGACCAAGTCGAATTTCACTTCACAGCCAAATGCATTCACATGTACCTCAAGCAGACGTACCTTAAGGTGCGTTATTTCATGTATTTCACAGGAAAGCCCGGGATTGTTAGTCCCATTTTATATACGAGGAGAAGGTAGTGGTGGTCCAGTGGTAGAATTCCCACCCTCCACACTGCAGACCTAAATTTGATTCCCAACCAACACACCTCACGTGCAGCCACCACCCACAGGTCAGCAGAGGCTTGAGAGTTGCCATGATGATGACAGGTTTCAGAGGAACCTGCCAACTGAGAGAGACTAAGAAGAAAGGCCTGGCAATCTACTTTTGAAGAACAGTCAATAAAAACCCTACTGACCACAACAGTCCCAGCCACAAGTGATTGTGGGAATGGCCCAGAACCAGGCAGGCGGGGGTTGACCTGATGGCAGTTAATAACAACAACACCGCTGAAGAAACTAAGACTCAGAAAGGAGAAGGGGAGGATGCAGCTAGAAGTGGCTGTGACCAGACCAGGTCTTCTGATGACCCAGGCTGTGAATTTTCCCCTCCTCTGGGTCCAAGGATCTACTGAGAGTGATTTCCAGGTTTATCTTCATTAGCGAACTTCAGGCCACCTTTTATCCTTCTTTTTTGATGCTTTCTTGGTTGGGGAGGTGGAAATAACTTACTGATGGGATTCACCAATCCTACACATTTCCTACCTTCTTTTCCCCTCTGGCCCCCCCTCCTCTCACACACACACTCTTGTCCACACACATACACACACAAGATTCTACAAATGCTTACATCACGTTAGGTGACAGTAATCCAATGTCTGACACACTCTCAAGGAGGGGAGAGGTATGGTGCATTAGGGCCTTCAGGCAAACCCAGACATCTTCAGGCTGCAAGTGCCCAAAAGGTGACGTTATCTTCACTGTTGCATCCTTTTCAGGGTCTCCTTTTGGTTTCCACCGACCTGAAGTATGAACAGAACTTAAAGCAGCAGCCAAATGTCCATAGCTGGGAAGATTTGAACCTGATAAATGGATACTGGAGTGGGAAGTCAGCCCCTTGAGTTCCCGTTTGCAAACACCACAAGGAGTGAATGGCCCTTAAGTCCACAGCTGCTGTAAACCTGGAAGGAAAAGATGGCACAATCTGGAATTTTAAAACCGTAATGAATTGTTTAGGAAAAACGTTTTCTTTGTCAAACTTTCAAGGATCTAGAGTGAGGCAAAGGGGGTTGGAGAACTGAATGAGAGGGAGGGATGCCTTTATGTGTGTGAAGGGGGGATGTTTGGATGTGTGCGTATGCATGTTGTGTTTATAACATCTGGGACCAAGAGCTAGGCATGTGCACCTAACTTGGTGGATAAAACACACTTTTAGCACACATTTGCATTGGTTATTGTCAGTGAAGCCCCTTCAGCTCTCTAAGGGTTTCCCCATCCCTGCATATTGGATTTTATATTTTATATTCACCATTACTGTGTCTTTTATTTAATTAAAATTGTTTTCTATCAATGTCTACCTTGTCTTTTGATTTGAGAAATTTCTGAAGTCCAATTTTTTTTGTAATAAAATAAGACAGGGAAAAGAGAAGGGAATGTAGTGTCTCTAACACTGACAAAGGACTCCCTGGGTGTCATAAGCAGCTAAGTGATTGATTATAGAACCAAAGGCTGGCAGTTGGAACCCACCCAGAGACACTTCAGAAGAAAGGCCTGGTGAGGTGCTCCTGAAAGATCACAGCCATGAAAACTTTAAGGAGTGCAGTCAAGCACTGCAATTGGTTTTGTTTTGGTTTAACCTTGAGAAAAACTGACATTGTGCAGATTCCAAGGCTTGATTTAAAAGAGAAATTGAATGAACTAAGAATGCCTGTTAGAAGCTCTGGTACCATAGTGCCTAAGGCACTTGACTGCTAACCAGAAGGCTGGCGGCTCAAACCCACCAGCCACTCCTCGGAAGGAAGGTTGAGCAATCTACTTCCGTAGTGATACTGTCTCGGAAACCCAAGGAGGGGTCGCTATGAGTCGGGTCCAACTTGACGGCACATAACAACAAGAATGCCTGTTAATTTTTTCCACTAAGAAACAGAGTGATCATAGGAAACTCCAGACATAATATTACTTACAGAATGCTCTTTTTAAAGGTGTTGGATGTTTTCCCTCCAGAAATTAGAGATATGGCACTTCAGAGTAGTCAACCTAGATGACATATAGTTGATGACAATATTTATACTGTTAAAACACCTTCTCAATAGGGTGAAACTGGGGCAAAGGAAGAGGAAAGGGGAACCAGTGGACATGGAAAAAGTGAATAGAAAACACAGATTTTGCTCTTGTGGTGCTCACAGTCTAATGGGGGAAAGGAAGAGAGACATTTACAGAGTACTTAGCACGTGCCAAGGCCTGTGTTGGTTATTCCATGAGGTTAATCGTCACAACCACACTATGTACAGATGATGATTCAGAGGTTCAGAAGGATTAATGACACAAACTAGTAAATGACAGAGGTAGAAATCGAATCCAAGTCTTTCTGATTTCAAAGTTGTTGCTCTTTATGTAAAGTAAGACTAGAAGCTGAAGTCACTTAAAAGTCATGAACCAACTATGAACAAGAGACACAGAGTATAAAACGATGATCACAGAGGACTTAGTCAACAAAGAAGGCTAGGAAGCCTTGGAGATCCATAGGAACTGCAATTTACTCATCTTTGTAGGATATGCCTGGCCATAATAGATGTCCCTACTAGTGTTTGTTGGAATAAATGATAAACTGTCATGTTCTAGTCTCTGGGATGCTCTCTTTGGACAGGCAAGTTATTCAACGCATGACCACAAATTCATCCTGAAACACGACAATTTTTCTGTTGCATTATTTACATGTTTCTCTTTCTCAGGTACAGGCATAGCTGTCTCCTCTCACTGCTAAAGAGAGCCTGCTATGACGTAAACTCCAAAGAGAAGTGTTGGCAAGAGCAGCTGGACCTGCCCTTTCAAACTTAGTGTTTACAGGATTCTGAAAAGCATTTCCAAAACAAAGAGTAACTAGCAAAATCCAAAAACTGTGAAAAGCCGGACAATGAATAAGGAAGATGGAAGGAGAATGATGCCTTTGAATTACGGTGTTGGCAAAGAATATTAAATACACCACAGACTGCCAGAATGAATAAATCTGTCTGAGAAGAAGAACGATTCGAATGTTGCTTAGAAGAGAGGACGGCCAGACTTCCTGTGACGTACCTTGCACATGGTATCAGGAGGGACATCATTCTTGGTAAAGAAGAGGGTCAGCGAAAAATCAGAAGACCCTCAAGGAGAGGGATTGACACAGTGCCTGCAACAATGGGTTCAAGCACAGCAAGGATTGTGATGGTGCAGAATTAGGGAGTGTTTCTTTCCATTGTACTTAAGATCTCTATGAGTCAGAACTTTATCAACAGCACCTAACAACTCAATTTGTTGTTGTTGTGTTGTTAGGTGCAGTGGAGACAATTCTGACTCATAGAGACCCTGTTTACAACAGAACAGACACTGGTGCTGAGCCGTCTTCACAGCCTTGCTCTGCTTGAACTCACTGTCGCAGCCACTGCGCAGTGCCTTCCAATCTGAGAGAGACCCACTGCTGTTGGGTCAGATAGCGACCCCTCCTTGGGTTTCCGAGGCGGTAATCAATACCGAAGTAGACCGCCCAATCTGCCTTCCGAGGAGTGCCTGGTAGGTTTGAACCGCCAGCCTTCTGGTTAGCAGTCAAATGCCTTAGGCACTATGCCACCAGCGCTCCCACGCTTAGCTTTAAGCCTGGAAAAACAAAAAAAAAAGAAAAAAGAAAAACTAGTAGAGTTTTAAAACGGTAAACACTAGAGGGCAATCTAACTTAGTAAGAAAAAGCGATTGATGCAAAGAGTTTCGAGCCTCGGCGCTTGCCGTCGCCCACCCTGCCTGCACAGTTGGCCGCACCTGCGCATTGAAGGCGTGAAGGCGGTTCTTGGGGCAGCGGTACGGCGCGGCGTCTGGTCTTTCTTCAAAGCGGACCCGGGAGTCTCCGCCACCGTTGTCATCGCCATGAGTCGCAGCTATAATGATGAGCTGCAGTTTTTGGACAAGATTAACAAAAATTGCTGGAGGATCAAAAAGGGCTTCGTGCCTAATATGCAGGTGAGGCGAGACAGGGGACCCGGCAGCGGGGCCTTTGGCCTTGGATCCCGCGGCTCTTCGTTCCCGGGCCTGGAGGGCTCCGCCTTCCTCCCGCCTCCTCGAGCCCAGGACAGGCCACTCACTATCTTCCACTTCCGACTCCTTTCGGCCCCCAGGAAAGCTCACCTTGTGCAGACCCCACTTCCTCGCAGGAGCTGTCCCCCAACCACGAGGGACAAGCAAAGCGGGATATGTCGAGGGTATCCAAGTAAATGCGGAATTAATGCTTGCAAAGCGTTTTCACACATGATTAGTTCTCATAAAAGCACCGTGAGGTATGTTAATGTTTCGGAGCCTCCGTGACATCAGTAGTGTTTTCAAGGTGGTCCAGTCAGTCTGGGGTCTAGCTGCTGAGTCTGAATTCAGACCTCTGAGTCATGCTGGTCATTTATTAATATGACGCTTACGGAGGGCTGAGCCAAGTTGTTGGCATTCGCGCTCCAAGTTGGTTTTCAATAAAAGCATTTCTTGCCTCACAGCAGCCTAGACGATTAACAGCGGATTTCCCCCCCGCCCCCAATTTTTTTTTTTTTTTTTTCGTTTATATTTACAGGACTCTGAAGGGTAGGTGGGTCAGTGACATAGCTGACCCGCCTAGTAAGAAGTTAAGCCAGGGCTTGATCCCCAATTAGTTTTTGCTCCTCAGACCAATGGTGTGTCCCATATGGAGACTTAGGAACCTAGCCCAGGAGGTGTGAAAGCCTGAACTTCCGCAAGACTTGGGCTGCATTACAACTTGTTCTCGGTATCACCTGTTAAACAAAACGTGTGAGGTTTGGTGCATGTGCTGTTAAAGGGCCTGTGAAACCCATAAGGTGCCAGGTGAGTGCAGTGAAAGTTTGCAGTCCTGTGTCTTGATTTGGGGGGAAAAAAAAGTTCCTGATAGCCCACTCTGTCCATCTATTCAATATCAGAGCTTAATGAATGTCTCCTGTGAGCTAGACACTGAGGGGGTAGAGAAGCTTAAGTAATAAGACCCCTTTTTGATGTTTTCCATGTGGCCAAACGGTCTCTGGGTATGGAATCTGGGTCCCTGAAGGAAGGAACAGAGAATGAGCAACCTATGAGGTGACTGTCCTTAGAGGACAATAACACACTCTGCCTTTGTCCAGTAGCTATTCTACTTTTTTTTATTAAAAAATCACTACCATAAGACCCTCTTGGGGTTTCTGAGAGGTTTCAAACCCCCTGCCCCTAAGTCAATTCCAATTACAAGTTCAGAGTAGAAATGTGCCATAGAAATTCCAAGGCTGTAAATCTTTGCAGAAGCAGACTGCCTCATCTCTTTCCTACAGAGTGGCTGGTAGGTTCAAACATCTGGCCTTTTGGTTAGCAGCTGAGTGCTTTAACTCCACCACCAGGGCTCCTTGACCCATAAATCCTCAGTAAATATTTGGTGAATTAATACATGTCACCCTAAGAAAATTGTACTGGAGACATTTTCATCTGCTGATACTATCATTCATGCAGAGTAATGAAGTCATCTTTCTGATAAGAGAAATAATTTTACTTGTCTAAATGTGTATTAAATCTTTGATTCTCCATTACTTCAGAATATTTGCTCTCTGGTTAAAGTATCCTGGTTTTGGTGTTATGTAATTACATTTTCCAGTGCCTACTGTATGCCTCTTGTCATCCATCTTTATCCTCTTAACTGGCATAGTTATAGAACTGAGAACACAGCTACATGTGAAAAATTGTTTACTCATTATTCATGTAAGTATAGATTTGTAAGTCTGCATAGGACACAAACTAATTTGTTGCTGATTTAAACAAAAAATATGCTGAGGTCAGATGACTTCCTTTTTATGTTTAGATTTGAATTGTAAGTTTCTTCTGTGTTTTCAAAACTCATTGATAGCTTTGAAACACAAGAATGCTGAGACCTTTTGCTTTTGTGAGAGCATAGTTGGGAGACTTTCCTTTAGAATAAAGGAAAATAAAATAAGTACTACATGCAGTGTTTGTATTCTGTCCAGTGCCTATGTGTCACGTACATTTGCTCAAACGTAGTCTTTCCTTTTGTTTGGTACCAGGTGGAAGGCGTGTTCTACGTGAATGATGCTTTGGAGAAGTTGATGTTTGAAGAGTTAAGGAATGCCTGTCGTGGGGGTGGTAAGTACATTAGAGTTTCACATGTGGTAGGTGATGTAAATGGTGTCTTCCCTGTGGCTTGAGAAAATAGGAATTCACATGTAATTTGAAAATACAAAAAATGTTGTCAAGGAATGAACAAGACATGAAATGAGATGAAAAGGCGGTTGCTTAGTTATGATCACATTCAGTTAGCCACTGGGCCTTGTGAAAAGGATTTAGAACTGAGTGGTTTATTTCTCAGCTGACCTTAGACAATGACTGCTGTTTATTGAGAACTTACTGTGTGCCGGGTACTTTCCAGCCCATAATGCACATTCATTTCCTATGTGCATTACGGGCTGGAAAATACAGTAACTCTAAGAGGTAGGTATTTTACAGATATGTGAGCCAAGGCTCAGTGAGATTAAAGTCATTTTAATTTGCCCAAGGTCACACAACTTCTTGGTGCCAGAACCAGAATTCAGATCCAAGAATGTGTGGCATCAGTGTGTTTAACCAGCACACACTTGTTGTTAGTTGCCCTTGAGTCACTTCTGAGTCATGCAGAGTAGAGCTGCCCTCTGTGGGGTTTTCAAAGCTGTGGTCTTTTGGAAGCAGATTGTCAGGACTGTCTTCCCAGGGCCCTCTGGGTGGGTTCAAACCATCAGCCTTTGGCCTAGTCATTGAGCACCTCACCATTTATGCCACCTCAGGACTCCTACCAGTACTCTAGTCTCACTGAACTTTAGTTACTTCATGTATAAAATAGGGCTTATTGCACCTACCTTAGAGAGCTGTGATGAGGTTTAGAGATAAGTGTTTAAAGCTCTAATATGCTCTAATGATAACGTGTATGTGATGTGTGCTGTCGAGTCAATTACAACTCATTGCGACCCTATAGCACAGAGTAAAACTGCCCCGGAGGGTTTCCAAGGCTGTAAATCTTCACAGAAGCTGACTGCCTCATCTTTCTCCTGTGGAGCATGGTGGATTTGAACTGCCCACATTTCAGTCAGCAGCTGAGTACTTAATACTATCACCAGGGCTCCTTCTAATGGTGGTTGTGGAAAAGAAATCATCTAGTTTTAACTCTTTTCTTTTTTAGGTCAGTAAACTGACTTTAGGTAAGCACTCCTCTCCGCAGAGCTAGATTGACACGGCTACCGACGGACGACCTAAATTTGAACCTAGGTCCCTGGACTCTCAGCCCAGTGTTTCTCCTCATCTACCACTTTACCCTTCTTTGTCACTTCAAATAAAACGACCATTGGTTTTTTAAAAAATAATTTGAACTGGTGGCATAGTGCCTAAAGCATTTGACTGCTAACCAGAAGATTGCGGTTCAAACCCACCAACCACTCCTCAGAGGGAAGATGGGGCAATCTACTTCCATAGTGATACCGCCTCAGAAACCCAAAGAGGGGTCACTATGAGTTGGAACCAACTCAACAGCAGTGAGTTTGTTTTTTTGTTTTGTTTTGTTTTGAAGAATACAGTTTTTACATTGACAACGTAAAGTTTAAATGTTAGGTTTCACATCTCACAGTGCAGCATTTGCAAACATGCTCATAGTTTACACAGACCCTGCTGGCATGTGTGTGATTGGCCTGGCTGCCCTCACCACCTTTCCTGTGAGCATGATCCCTCCTTCAGGAAGCTTCCTCCCCATCATCAAGCATCCTTTCATGCCTCGTGGGTTAGTAGCCCTACCCACTTCTCCGTCGTGAGAGTATACTTCCTGCTGAAAATCAGGTTGTCTTCTTTTCTGATACCGGATTTTTGTTTTCAGGTGTTGGTGGCTTCCTGCCGGCCATGAAACAGATCGGCAATGTGGCAGCCCTGCCTGGGATTGTCCATGTGAGTCAGAGTTCAGAGCTTCAATTTTAAACTTTTTTGTTGACTGGGTGAAAGGTCGTGCCTCACTGATAGTGATATTACATGGTGACCTTCAAACATCTTGAAATGACCATGAACTTAAATCATTCAGTCTGGATCACAGCTCAGTTTCTGGTCTCCTGTGACTAGAGTCTGTAGGCCTTCAAGAACTTGTTTCTTTCGAACACATGGTCATTCCTGGATCAGCACACCACCATTGTAGGTTTCACTATAGCCCTGTTCAAGAGAAGGGTTGGAGAAGGAATAGAAAAAAGTTCAAGGGTTAAGAGTGAGTTGAGGGAGGGACACAAAGCTGTTGTGGACATGATTGGAAAGGGAGGGTGGTGGCAGTAACACAAAGACAGAGCTAGTTGGAGCATCCAACATTCACATTCTCCCATTAGACGCAGATGATGGAGACGAATCTGTCTATTCAACAGACATTTTTGGAGGTCTTTAGGCCAATTACAATGCTGGCTACTTTTGGGGAAATAAGACCTGGCTTGTGCCTTTAAGGAATTGATAAGCATCTCCATGTCTCCATTCTTTCCATATTTGACCTGCTTTCTTCCTGGGTCAGAATCCTTTTCCAGGCTCCAGATGTGGAAATTATGCAGTCCTCATAGGACCAAACGGATCACGTGTGTGTGGCATAAACACTCAGCACCTCTGTGAATCTCCTGCTTCCCTCCTGTTGACCCAACAGGAGCATGTTTTGTCCATGTCTTAGGAGTGTACATCTGTGAAGTGTGATGAGGACATTAATGTGAGCACGAGGTCCTCTTAGGTTACTCTGCAGCTTTTCTGTCTTTGGGGTTCCTTAGTTAATGGTTAAACTGTAGAAAGGATTTCC